AGACTCTACTACAAATTAGAGGTATTGTCAGGCAACATCACCGTGACAAGGTAACTGAGGAAAGGAGGATAGAAGCACAAACCAGTGAATCTATACGCTGGTACAACATGGTTGCTGCTGGTCAATCCCAATCATTATGGTCGAAGAGGAGGAGGACGAGGGAGAGAATCAGTAATAGCGAGAATCCGTCTTGGATACAAATATCCATGGAGATACGGAATGGAAACAACAGTTGAGCAGCGGAGTTGCAGAATCTGCGTGAGAGTGACAGAATCTGTTTGACCACTACCTGAGAGTGACGGACACCGCCTTGACCACTTCCTGAGAGCCTTGACCACTACCTGAGAGCCTTGACCACTACCTGAGAGCCTTGACCACTATCTGAGAGCCTTGACCACTACCTGAGAGCCTTGACCACTACCTGAGAGCCTTGACCACTACCTGAGAGCCTTGACCACCACCTGAGAGAGTGACGGACACCCTTGACCACTACCTGAGAGTGTGACGGACACCGCCTTGACCACTACCTGACGGACACCGCCTTGACCACTACCTGACGGACACCGCCTTGACCACTACCTGAGAGAGTGACGGACACCGCCTTGACCACTACCTGAGCCTTGACCAGACCTTGAGCCGGACTACCTGAGCCTTGACCACCACCTGAGAGCCTTGACCACCACCTGAGAGCCTTGACCACCACCTGAGAGCCTTGACCACCACCTGAGAGAGTGACGGACACCGCCTTGACCACTACTGAGAGAGTGACGGACACCGCCTTGACCACTACCTGAGAGAGTGACGGACACTACCTTGACCACTACCTGACCACTGACGGACACCGCCTTGACCACTACCTGAGAGAGTGACGGACACTACCTGACCACTACTGACCAGTGACGGACACCGCCTTGACCACTACCTGAGAGAGTGACGGACACCGCCTTGACCACTACCTGAGAGAGTGACGGACACCGCCTTGACCACTACCTGAGAGAGTGACGGACACCGCCTTGACCACTACCTGAGAGAGTGACGGACACCGCCTTGACCACTACCTGAGAGAGTGACGGACACCGCCTTGACCACTACCTGAGAGAGTGACGGACACCGCCTTGACCACTACCTGAGAGTGTGACGGACACCGCCTTGACCACTACCTGAGAGTGTGACGGACACCGCCTTGACCACTACCTGAGAGTGTGACGGACACCGCCTTGACCACTACCTGAGAGAGTGACGGACACCGCCTTGACCACTACCTGAGAGAGTGACGGACACCGCCTTGACCACTACCTGAGAGTGTGACGGACACCGCCTTGACCACTACCTGAGAGAGTGACGGACACCGCCTTGACCACTACCTGAGAGAGTGACGGACACCGCCTTGACCACTACCTGAGAGTGTGACGGACACCGCCTTGACCACTACCTGAGAGTGTGACGGACACCGCCTTGACCACTACCTGAGAGTGTGACGGACACCGCCTTGACCACTACCTGAGAGAGTGACGGACACCGCCTTGACCACTACCTGAGAGAGTGACGGACACCGCCTTGACCACTACCTGAGAGTGTGACGGACACCGCCTTGACCACTACCTGAGAGTGTGACGGACACCGCCTTGACCACTACCTGAGAGTGTGACGGACACCGCCTTGACCACTACCTGAGAGAGTGACGGACACCGCCTTGACCACTACCTGAGAGAGTGACGGACACCGCCTTGACCACTACCTGAGAGTGTGACGGACACCGCCTTGACCACTACCTGAGAGTGTGACGGACACCGCCTTGACCACTACTGAGAGAGTGACGGACACCGCCTGACCACTACCTGAGAGTGACGGACACCGCCTTGACCACTACCTGAGAGAGTGACGGACACCGCCTTGACCACTACCTGAGAGAGTGACGGACACCGCCTTGACCACTACCTGAGAGAGTGACGGACACCGCCTTGACCACTACCTGAGACCGCCTTGACCACTACCTGAGAGTGTGACGGACACCGCCTTGACCACTACCTGAGAGAGTGACGGACACCGCCTTGACCACTACCTGAGAGAGTGACGGACACCGCCTTGACCACTACCTGAGAGAGTGACGGACACCGCCTTGACCACTACCTGAGAGAGTGACGGACACCGCCTTGACCACTACCTGAGAGAGTGACGGACACCGCCTTGACCACTACCTGAGAGAGTGACGGACACCGCCTTGACCACTACCTGAGAGAGTGACGGACACCGCCTTGACCACTACCTGAGAGAGTGACGGACACCGCCTTGACCACTACCTGAGAGAGTGACGGACACCGCCTTGACCACTACCTGAGAGAGTGACAGACACCGCCTTGACCACTACCTGAGAGTGACGGACACCGCCTTGACCACTACCTGAGAGAGTGACGGACACCGCCTTGACCCACTACCTGAGAGAGTGACGGACACCGCCTTGACACTACTGAGAGAGTGACGGACACCGCCTTGACCACTACCTGAGAGTGACGGACACCGCCTTGACCACTACCTGAGAGAGACGGACACCGCCTTGACCACTACTGAGAGACGGACACCGCCTTGACCACTACCTGAGAGAGTGACGGACACCGCCTTGACCACTACCTGAGAGAGTGACGGACACCGCCTTGACCACTACCTGAGAGAGTGACGGACACCGCCTTGACCACTACCTGAGAGAGTGACGGACACCGCCTTGACCACTACCTGAGAGAGTGACGGACACCGCCTTGACCACTACCTGAGAGAGTGACGGACACCGCCTTGACCACTACCTGAGAGAGTGACGGACACCGCCTTGACCACTACCTGAGAGAGTGACGGACACCGCCTTGACCACTACCTGAGAGAGTGACGGACACCGCCTTGACCACTACCTGAGAGAGTGACGGACACCGCCTTGACCACTACCTGAGAGAGTGACGGACACCGCCTTGACCACTACCTGAGAGAGTGACGGACACCGCCTTGACCACTGACGGACACCTGAGAGAGTGACGGACACCGCCTTGACCACTACCTGAGAGAGTGACGGACACCGCCTTGACCACTACCTGAGAGAGTGACGGACACCTGACCACTAGAGAGTGACGGACACCGCCTTGACCACTACCTGAGAGAGTGACGGACACCGCCTTGACCACTACCTGAGAGAGTGACGGACACCGCCTTGACCCTACCTGAGAGAGTGACGGACACCGCCTTGACCACTACCTGAGAGTGACGGACACCGCCTTGACACTACCTACCGCCTGAGAGAGTGACGGACACCGCCTTGACCACTACCTGAGAGAGTGACGGACACCGCCTTGACCACTACCTGAGAGAGTGACGGACACCGCCTTGACCACTACCTGAGAGAGTGACGGACACCGCCTTGACCACTACCTTGACGCCCTTGACCACTATCTGAGAGAGTGACGGACACTACCACTACCTGAGAGAGTGACGGACACCGCCTTGACCACTACCTGAGAGAGTGACGGACACCGCCTTGACCACTACCTGAGAGAGTGACGGACACCGCCTTGACCACTACCTGAGAGAGTGACGGACACACCGCCTTGACCACTACCTGAGAGAGTGACGGACACCGCCTTGACCACTACCTGAGAGAGTGACGGACACCGCCTTGACCACTACCTGAGAGAGTGACGGACACCTGAGAGAGTGACACCGCCTTGACCACTACCTGAGAGAGTGACGGACACCGCCTTGACCACTACCTGAGAGAGTGACGGACACCGCCTTGACCACTATCTGAGAGAGTGACGGACACCGCCTTGACCACTACCTGAGAGAGTGACGGACACCGCCTTGACCACTACCTGAGAGAGTGACGGACACCGCCTTGACCACTACCTGAGAGAGTGACGGACACCGCCTTGACCACTACCTGAGAGAGTGACGGACACCGCCTTGACCACTACCTGAGAGAGTGACGGACACCGCCTTGACCACTACCTGAGAGAGTGACGGACACCGCCTTGACCACTACCTGAGAGAGTGACGGACACCGCCTTGACCACTACCTGAGAGAGTGACGGACACCGCCTTGACCACTACCTGAGAGAGTGACGGACACCGCCTTGACCACTACCTGAGAGAGTGACGGACACCGCCTTGACCACTACCTGAGAGAGTGACGGACACCGCCTTGACCACTACCTGAGAGAGTGACGGACACCGCCTTGACCACTACCTGAGAGAGTGACGGACACCGCCTTGACCACTACCTGAGAGAGTGTGCACATCTAAAAGTCATCATAAATATGTGAGAATAACAAACTCCTCATTATTTGAGTTAGGAAAATACTATCTGTCAAATATGAATGTTGTTCTTAAAAGATTTCCCCATTTTGCACCCGCAAGATTACGTAAGATTGAACGACTTGGTCAGTATTGACTCTGAGGATGAACACGTTTAAGAATTGTGTCGTCGTGACACGACAAGGACGATGGTCACACGTCCCTCCGTAATTAATGAACTCTAATTTTATATCAACTAACTCATCATTTATAAATAAACAACCACTTATTGAAGTTTTTTTTTACTTGTGTTGACCTGATTGACTATGTACATTGGGACATAATAGCACATAGAACATACTAAAGATGATTCCATACACACCAACGGAACTCAACAACTATCATACAGACATACACCCTTATACAATACTCAAGACCCATGGGAAGCAGGCAGGAGGAGGACAACACACACACACACACACACACACACACACACACACACACACACACACACACACACACACACACACACACACACACACACACACACACACACACACACACACACACACACACACACACACACACACACACACACACACACACACACACACACACACACACACACAGATATTCAACAACAGAACTTGGCCACTCAACAGTGCTGTCCTGGCCATCGACACACTGCCACTTCCAGGAAATCTTCCTTATATTAAAATTCCAAACCACTAGAGGTACGAGCTTGGTCCACATCCCTTGGTCCACATCCCTTGGTCCACATCCCTTGGTCCACATTCCTTGGCCCACATCCCTTGGCCCACATCCCTTGGTCTACATTCCTTGGCCCACATCCCTTGGTCCACATCCCTTGGCCCACATCCCTTGGTCCACATTCCTTGTCCCACATCCCTTGGTCCACATCCCTTGTCCCACATCCCTTGGTCCACATCCCTTGGTCCACATCCCTTGGTCCACATCCCTTGGTCCACATCCCTTGGTCCACATCCCTTGGTCCACATTCCTTGGCCCACATCCCTTGGTCCACATTCCTTGGCCCACATCCCTTGGGCCACATCCCTTGGTCTACATTCCTTGGCCCACATCCCTTGGTCCACATCCCTTGGCCCACATCCCTTGGTCCACATTCCTTGGCCACATCCCTTGGTCCACATCCCTTGGCCCACATCCCTTGGCCCACATCCCTTGGTCCACATCCCTTGGTCCACATCCCTTGGTCCACATCCCTTGGTCCACATCCCTTGGTCCACATCCCTTGGTCCACATCCCTTGGTCCACATCCCTTGGTCCACATCCCTTGGTCCACATCCCTTGGTCCACATCCCTTGGTCCACATCCCTTGGTCCACATCCCTTGGTCCACATCCCTTGGCCCACATCCCTTGGCCCACATCCCTTGGCCCACATCCCTTGGTCCACATCCTTTGGTCCACATCCCTTGGCCCACATCCCTTGGCACACATCCTTGCTTCTATCCTGGCCCGACCTGACTGGCGATCACAGAGCCCTTGGACACGACAGAAACATCGGGGTAAGGAATCCAAACAGAATATACTAAAGCACAGAAATATTGCCCATCTGGGCCACGACCTCCTACGACACCACGACAACATACCATCTGGGCCACGACCTCCTACGACACCACGACAACATACCATCTGGGTCACGACCTCCTACGACACCACGACAACATACCATCTGGGCCACGACCTCCTACGACACCACGACAACATACCATCTGGGCCACGACCTCCTACGACACCACGACAACATACCATCTGGGCCACGACCTCCTACGACACCACGACAACATACCATCTGGGCCACGACCTCCTACGACACCACGACAACATACCATCTGGGCCACGACCTCTTACGACACCACGACAACATACCATTTGGGCCACGACCTCCTACGACACCACGACAACATACCATCTGGGTCACGACCTCCTACGACACCACGACAACATACCATCTGGGCCACGACCTCCTACGACACCACGACAACATACCATCTGGGCCACGACCTCCTACGACACCACGACAACATACCATCTGGGCCACGACCTCCTACGACACCACGACAACATACCATCTGGGCCACTACCTCTTACGACACCATGACAACATACCATCTGGGCCACGACCTCCTACGACACCACGACAACATACCATCTGGGCCACGACCTCCTACGACACCACGACAACATACCATCTGGGCCACGACCTCCTACGACACCACGACAACATACCATCTGGGCCACGACCTCCTACGACACCACGACAACATACCATCTGGGCCACGACCTCCTACGACACCACGACAACATACCATCTGGGCCACGACCTCCTACGACACCACGACAACATACCATCTGGGCCACGACCTCCTACGACACCACGACAACATACCATCTGGGCCACTACCTCTTACGACACCACGACAACATACCATCTGGGCCACGACCTCCTACGACACCACGACAACATACCATCTGGGCCACTACCTCTTACGACACCATGACAACATACCGGATATATTATTGACAAATAATCTCAGCTTTCTAAATACCGGCATAGAGTGAGGTCCAGTGACCAACTGCCCATAACGTGAGCCTCACCAGCGGCCCCCCTCCAGGCCCCACCCAACACTCTCAACCACTCACAAGTAGTCGTTGAAATTATACTATATATTATACTATATATGTACCTCGAAATTATACTATATATGTACCTCGAAATTATACTATATATGTACCTCGAAATTATGCTATATATGTACCTCGAAATTATACTCTATATGTACCTCGAAATTATACTCTATATTTAAGGTAGGAATTTATTTTCACATATTAACCTAATATATCCCTAATTTACCCTATAGCTTTTAATTAGCCCTATAGTATAATTTCGAGGGATGGGGGTTCTTAGTTATGGTTTAAACCTAGTTATGGTTTAGGATAAGGAAAATTGTGTTATGGTTGTAGTGAGTTATAGTGAGTCATATCCCTTTCTGAAAAATATGTTGTAAAATGAAGTTCAGATGCAGATATATAAGGTTAGGTTAGGTTAAGGATTCTTAAGTTAAACTGATGTAGAGAAAATTCCCATTATTAATACATTTTCCATTAACCCCCCAGGTAATAGAGGTTAGGTTGGGGGCTAATTATATTGATGTGAAAACACACAACAGAAGCAACATGGATAAGAATATGATGCAATATTGAACCAAGATCCATGTATCAGAGCTTAGGTCCACAGCCGTTGGCTTGATGCAGAAACAACACTTTCATCCCCTCCCCTTTCCCTCCAAAAAAAAAAAAATACAATACATTGAAGTTAGGTGCAGGGAAGTTAGGTGCAGGGAAGTTAGGTGCAGGGAAGTTAGGTGCAGGGAAGTTAGGTGCAGGGAAGTTAGGTGCAGGGAAGTTAGGTGCAGGGTGGCTGAGTTGATGTGTAAAAACAAAACACTTACCCAACAATATAGCTCTGATATTGAACATAAATCCAAGTTTGATAGGCGAGGGGCAGTTAGGTTCATTTCCAAAACTTCACTTTTCTAAGAATATAAATACAATATTCAACAAAGCTCCAAGACTCCTGTTAGGCACGGCCATTTTGGCTTATATATGAAATCAACATTTATCTGAGTATATGTCGTATCAGAGTTAGGTCCGAGGTGGTTGAGTTGTGGTAATATGAAGACAATACCTAGTAACAACACACTTATAATAGTAATATATTAGCAAAATTAGCTGTAATCCAGGGTGGAGTGGCAGTTGTAAGTGGACATTAACAGCTCTAACAGTCAACTCATGTTCTGGATGTTGTGTTCATAGGTACATTAAGTACAATATTGGGCTTTTGGTTTGATAAAATTAGGATAAATTTACTGGCATTGACACAAATTGGGATAATTTGGATGAATTTACCTAATGTTGTGTTAGGATAGGTTAGGTTAGGTCTGGTTTGGTAGGACTGATGATAGAAAACTAATCTGGAAAATGGAAATAGTTAGACGGACACAGCACGGCTCTATGAAATGGTCTTGGGAACTGGGCATGTTGTGCTAAGACTGGGTGTCGGATATCGGGAATATACATTTAATTTAGAGGGAATAGGTGAAACTTGGGTAAAATGGGCTTTGGCTGTGCTATGATACAAAACATTTTGGGTATATTTGGTGGAAATTGTCTTAAATTTGGTTGCATTTAGGTGGGACAGCTTAATTAACTTTCGCCAACTTTAATAATATCTAGCCTTGGATATGCTAGGCCAGGTTAGGTAAGGTTGTGAAGGGTAGGATATATAATGTCTTAGCGGTAATGGACTACCATGTTCATAAGATAATGTAAATTTACCTATTTGTAGTTGGAGTTATAGCTAGCTCATGTAATGGATGGACAGAGGTATCACAGGCTTGTATGTAAGGATATGGGAGGCTTACATTTAGTTAGTTTAGCTTTTGCTAGGTTGAATTGGGTTAAATTTTTGTAGTCTAAGTTGAATGTTTTGCTAGATTTATATGAATTAGGTTTTAATAGGATGCATTTTTGATAGGATAAAGTAAATTTTCTTAAATTGTCATAGAAATTACAAACTTCACCTAACCCCACCTGTCCTAACATAACTAAGGCTAGAACCAATAAGTCTGTTGGATGGTTTGCCTAAATAAATATGGGTGACATGACTGCAGAGGATGTAACAAGGGGGGGGGTACCACTAAGGCATTAAAGAATGGATATATCTTAGATAAATAGTTTAGCACTAATAATGTTGAAACATTTATGGAAAATGTATGGCGTTCTTTTGTATATTGAGGTCATAGGAAGCCAGATATACCATTCATATATGTGAAATTCTGACTTTTGGAGGAGTTGGTTAAACTCAGTACATTATAAATGATGTCCTAAACATACCTAAAAAAAATATTATGCAAATCGTGTATTGTTTGAGCAAGATGGACGTCATTGTATTTGTATAAATAGCACAATCATTATAATTGTGCAAATTGTGTAATAACTGTATAAGTTTTGTAAGTGTATTTGTGGAAATTGTGTAGTTGTGTATTTAATGTATATGTGCTAGATGTGTATTGTTCATATTTATGCAAGTTGTGTATTGAATATATTTGGACAAGTTGTGTATTAATTGTGTATATGGTGCAATTGCATTGTGTGAATTTGTGCTAGTTGTGTATTTTAGGTATTTGGGGGAGTTATGTATTTGTGCTGTTTGTATGTGTGTATTTGATGACATTCATGCAAGCTGTGTAATAATTATGAAATTATGAAATCATATGTGTAATAATTGTGTAAGTTGTGTATTAATTGCGCATGTGCGTCTGCATGTGGATATATATAGATCAATTGTGTATTTGCGCCTGTTGTGTATATGTAATCTGAAAAAATAGATCTTCATGTGCAAGTGTGAAAGTGTATTTTGGTTTATGAGACAATGTGTGGGTATTTTGTGAGAATTTTTTGTGAAATTGTGTAATTTTAATGAAATCGCATTTTGATTGTCTAAATGTACAAGCAATTTGCTATATTTGTGCAAATACCATACTTTGTGTAAGTGTTATACTCTGAGTGAACATGCAATATTTGTGTATATGATATATTTTTGTGTGCAACTGACATATTTTGTGTGCAACTGACATATTTTGTGTGCAACTGACATATTTTGTGTGCAACTGACATATTTTGTGTGCAACTGACATATTTTGTGTGCAACTGACATATTTTGTGTGCAACTGACATATTTTGTGTGCAACTGACATATTTTGTGTGCAACTGACATATTTTGTGTGCAACTGACATATTTTGTGTGCAACTGACATATTTTGTGTGCAACTGACATATTTTGTGTGCAACTGACATATTTTGTGTGCAACTGACATATTTTGTGTGCAACTGACATATTTTGTATGTAAATTACATATTTTATATATAAATGTCATATTTTGTGTGTGAATGGCATATTTTTTTTTGTAAATAATATATTTGTGCATAAATGGCATATATGGTGTGTAAATGTTGTATTTTATGTGTAAATGGAATATTTGTGTGGAAATGCTTTGTGCATCAATGTTATATTGAGTGTAAATCTCTATGTGTGTTATACTGTGTGTTTAATATATTGTGTATTTTTAGTGCAAGTGCTACATTTTGTGTTCATGTTAAATTGATATATTTTAGTGCGCCTTATCACAACCTTAGTTTTTTATTAATAATTAGTAGTATTTATTTAAGTGGTATATATATATATATATAGTATATATATATATATATATATATATATATATATATATATATATATATATATATATAATATATATATATATGTATATATATATATATATATATATATATATATATATATATATATATATATATATATATATATATATATATATCCAGGTTTATCCATGTGAATAGTATGTA